AGCTGATGGGCCCTATGGGTGCATGGAGGGGAGGGGTGTAGTCAAGGGGAGGGGTGTCTGGAGGCTCATGATTTTCAAAGCCCTGGTGATGCAGTGGTTGAAGCACTCAACTACCATCCGAAAGGTAAATTGTTCAAACCCCCTGGCTGCCACGCAGGAGAACGATGTGGCAGTTTGTGTCTATAGAATCACAGCCTGGTAAACCGTCCTGTGGGGCAGAGAGTTGGAATCGAGGAAGGCAGTGGGTGGTGGGAGGGTGGCCGGGGGCAAGTGTCTGCAACCCTAGGAAGAACAAGGTCCCTAGAGGAGAGGGCACCCCCGGCTAGGCTGAGGCAGTGTGGTTAATGCACTCTGCTTGGGGTAAATTTGAGCCCCTGTCCCCCCTCTTCCTCACAGCCAACCCTCCTGGGCTTTGTTCTCGAAAGAAACCCTTCTGACCCATGCCCCCACCCCGATTCCTTTTCATTTCAAGGCAGGTGACCTTGTCAAACACACACGGCACTTGAGTTCCTCTTCACCCAGGTGTGCACTCGGGACAACAGCCTGAGCCCCAATCGGGCACCGACAGAGAATCAATGAACCTGATTCGATGGGCTCCTCTCATTCCTTTGAGTATAATTTTAACTTTTTATAGCCCCCTAAATGAAGGCTATGAATTGCCCTATGCATTTTCATGACTTACGTTCAAATTCCTTTCTAATTTCCTTGTTGGTTTCACTAATCCATGGATCTGTTTAGATCTGCATTGTTTGTCTTGTTCCAAGAAATCTAAGTCATATCCTAGGTCAGAGACCATGCTTCATTTCAATTCTTTGAGAATTGCTCTACGACTCAACATTTGGCTAGTTTGTTAATGTTGCATATGTGCATTGAAAAATAACATCAACACTACAAGATAAAATAATTCTTTGTGAAAACAAAAGCAGTGAAGCAGACAAAAACCCCAATAGAAAAGAAAGAGTGAATGAGGTGGACGGCGGAGTGGAGACCCAAAGCCCATCTGTAGACAACTGGACATCCCCTTGCAGAAGGGTCACAGGGAAGAGACGAGCCAGTCAGGGTGCAGTATAGCACCGATGAAACACAACTTTCCTCTAGTTCTTTGATACTTCCTCCCCACCTCCCACTATCTTGACCCCAAGTCTACCTCACAAATCCAGCTAGACCAGAGCATGTGCAGGGATACAGATAAGAGCTGGAAACAGAGAATTTGGGACAGATAAACCCTCAGGACCAATAATGAGAGTAGTGATACCAGGAGGGTAAGGGTAAGGTGGGGCTGGAAAAGGGTAACCCATCACAATGATCAACATATAACTCCCTCCCAGGGGGAAGGATAACAGAAAGATGGGTGACGGGAGACATGAAAAAAAGAACTATAAATTATCAATGGATCATGAGGGAAGAAGTGGAGGGAGGGGGGAATGAACTGATACCAAGGGCTCAAGTCGAAACAATTTTGAAAATGATGGCATAGGTACAAATGTGCTTGGCACGATGGATGTATGGATTGTGATAAGAGCTTTAAGAGCCCCCAATAAAATGATTTTTTTTAAAGAAAAGAAAGTAGAAATTAATAAAACTAAAACAAATTTAAAACTGGCCCTAAGGGTGGTCTACTTCCCCCTCCCAAAATGTTCTAATAAAAATTGTCCATTCCAACAACACCCACTGCATCCCCACCAGGACAGAAGAGAACCAGCCAAGACGGAAAATGTCTCCCATGGTCCTGATTTACAGGAGAAACAAGACTGCAGACGCCACTGCAACAGGACAGCAAAGTCCAGCTGAAGTCCTCACACCACTTCTCTCAGGACCCTGTGGTAGTTTCATCATCTGTGGTCAATTTGAGACTTAAGAGTGAAGGGGTGGAGTTAGGCTGTCAATCAGGTCGCAGCTTGATGACCTCATTTGGAGGCGCTGGGGAGCTAAATAGCTCGCTGGAGCGGGACCCACGCTCCCGGTGACACGTTACGATGACCACCCTGATGGAAACAGGCTCGTGGCAGCCAGAGCCCTGGAGCTGGAGGAGCCTCGTGGAGACCCACGCCAGCCCTGAGATCCTTCTACCACCACCGAATCCACAAGACTTTACACCCATTGGCTGTGGTGTTCCTGCATTCGGCGTCCTTGCGTGGCTGCGTGAGTCTAAAAATTTATAGACTAATATTGACAAAGGGGTAATATCAGACTTATGGACTTGATCTGGACTGGGCTGGGATGTTTTCTCAATATCCAATTGCTCTTGTATATAAATTTATCTCGTGTACACGAGTGTCTGAATTTGTTTCTCACACAGAAGCTGATGAGACACCGAAGTAAAAGCTAACACGAATGGTCAGAGGACCTCTGTGGAAGCGTTGGATCGCAAAGGCATTTCAGCGGAATCAGACTCAATTTCAGAGGAAGGCGTAGCAAATTGGTCTACTTCTGAATGGCTAACTAGCTTACCCCAGGGACACTCCCAGTCCCTCATCGTCATCAACAGCCGTTGGACACAGCGTCCTATGTGTTTATTGATTAATTCACTGTGGCTGCCAAGTCTTCTGAATCCTTAGCGATTTCCTTCCTGCCCATTCTCTCAGTTACTCTGAGAGAAAGGTTATACTTCCCACCATGATCATGCATCTCATATTTGCTGACTTTTTTGGGTGACAAATTCACAATTGTATTTATTTACTTTCCCATCAGTTTACATTCTTGAGGGGCACAGCATCACAAGGACTCTGTGTCCACTGGCCTTCACAGGCAGGGTGCTACAGAATTCAGCCGGAACCATGCCACTGTTTCCATGGCAGGAGGTACCTTTGCCCGGGTGACTGGCTTCTTAAGTTTGCTGCCCATTTCGGGCATAAACACCTCCGATTTTAAGAAGAGCTGCGCGCTCCCTCTGGTTCCAGAGACCCCCGTTTATAGCCAGCCACAATGGCCTTGGACCAGAACCTTCCAGCAGGCCCCCAAAGGCTCCTGTACGACATACGACAGACTACGGTGAGCGGACTCACGTTTGTGGCTCTGTTCCTTGGTGTTTTAAATTGTAAGTGTTCCTTGTGACCCCTTGCAGTGATCATTGCCTGCAGTCACTCTGGCCTGGAAGCCACGTTATCTGGTGCCAGTTTTGTGTATCACTTCACCCTTGGAATTTGCAAGTGTGAGTCTGCTGTCTTTTGACTGCCGACCTCTGTGGGCTTTCTCAGGGCGCCCTGGTGGCATAGCGCTTACCCATGGGCTGTGATCAGCAAGGTCGGACATTTGAAACCACTGCGTGGTCTTTCATATGGTTCAGGGTTGTAGCCAGGAGCCCTGGTGGAATAGTGCCTTCAAGCAGAGAGGTTGGGCATTCAGTGATTTGGGCCCCTCTCCGTGGGACAAAGATGGGGCAGTTTGCTTCCATCAAGTCTTGGAAACCCCCGGGCAGTTCTGTGTCACCCTGCAGGGCTTACTAGGGGCTGGAATCAGCTCGGACACCATGTCTTTTGCTGAGCCTGCCCCAGAGGGCTTCCTTCTGCCCATGGAGGGCAACTGGGTTGGGCAGGGATGAGCAGATCCTCCGGTGCTGGCCAGGGGTGCAGATGGACTCCAGTCTCCATGAAAACCCACTTACACCCACCCACCAGCCCACACTTTGAGTGGTGACCACTGCTAGTGGCCCCTTGGGAGCCTCAGTCAAAGTCCCTACCTTGACCGACCCCGAGCACAGGGTGGCCAGGCACCTCAGTCAGCTCCCCATATGCTCGGCACCTCGTCCTTGGGTCCCATTCTTCCCCGGGCTCTGGGACCCCTGTCCTGCTGCTTCTCCTGGCCTGTGCATGTGCCGGGCAGTGGGGAAGGCTGCAGGAGACCGGGTCAGCTCTGGGGACCTGGCCTAACGAGAACCTTGCCAGGACTGGACATCTGAGTCAAACACTGCTGGAGACGAGGCTGCCCCCGGGTCACACAGGTCTCTGAGGGCCCGAGGCAGGGTGTGCGTGAGGCAGGGTTAGAAGGCTGAGGTCAGAGAGGTCATGGGGAGCCTCAGACAACAGGCTCAGCCCCTCCTTTCAAAGGCACTGGGCTGCTGGGTGGGGAAGGAACTGCTGACGGGTTGAGGTGGGCTGACCGCCGGGAGGCTCCCACCCACTGCCCCTCAGGAAGCGGTGGTGTGGCCACATGGTGAGGTACTGGGCTGGGCAGAGGCAGGCTGGGATGGGAGTGTTCGGCGTGTCTCGGCCACTGCAGAGAAGCTATGCTCACCATAGCGGGAGTCCCAGCGGGGGCTCCCAATTGCAGGCGTCCTCCGGCCAGTGAGCAGCCTGGGGTGTGACAGCCCAGCACAGGGTCCTGACTGGCAGGCGCTTGGGTGATGAGAGGTTGTGGCCTATCCGTCCCTAAGAGCCGAGCTCTGGGTGTGCCTGGTAAGTGGGTGCAGGATACACACAGGTGGCATGCTGGGCGGGTGGGGTGACCCGGTGGTTAGGTAGGGAGCCTTCATGCCTTGACCGGGCAGGGATGCACGAACTGCCGTAACCGAGAAGGGGGGTAGGGTGCCTGGGAGGAAGGCAGGTGTCATCTGGGGGATGGCAGGTGGGCAGCTGGGCCCCCAGGTGTGGGACTGAGCAACCAGGAGAGGAGGACCTGTCCTGGGAGGCTGCGGAGAGTGGGGAGGTGTCCCCGATCTCAAGCATAGGGGCGTGCACGCGGCGACTGGGGAGGGGGCTCTTGGGGGCTTCCCTCCACACTCAACCCGAGAGCAGGGTGCTGGGAGGGCAAGGTAGGGCCCTGGTCTCAGGCGTGCTGGCTACACAGGCGGGCCAGAGGGTGGAAGCAGGACAGGGGGCAGGGTGGAAGGCACCTCCGCCCACCCTCATCTCCCCGCCCCCACACCACTCGGGGCTCTGCCACAGCAGCCTTTATTCAGCGTCACTGTCCCCGACAAGCCTTCCCACGCCGGCCACCTCCTCCGGCTCTCCAGCGTCCACTCCCCACACAGGACCCAGTGGTGACGGGGGATTGGCCGGGCCAGGGTCGGTGCCACTACTTCTTGGGAATCTTCTCCTTTTTGATCAAGTCAGAAAATTCTGGAGTGGGAGACAGATCCCTGATCACTAAGCCCGGCTTCGGGCCCACCTGCCGTAGCCGTATACACTTGATGGGAGGCCTAATAGCCCGGCGGAGGCCAGCCCTGGTGGGGACGGGACAGAGCCCAGTGTCAGCAGTGATGGCCCCTCCTGCCCCTGGCAGAGGTGACAGTGAGCCCCGTGGGGGCACAGGGCTCTGGGGACCCTCTGGAATCTCCACCAGAGCCTCTGAAGAGGTGCTCTTGGGGAAACTGAGGCACCAGGAGGCTGTGACCTGAGTCCCTGGTGAGCCCTTTGCCAGGCAGCCCTCTGTGAAGCCCATGGGCTCTGAGTTGGGGTCTCCTGGGGACAAGGTGACCCGGCACAGCAGCATGGCCGGCCTCAGCACATAGGGGTCTCCTGTGAGCTGGCTAAGTGCCGCCCCTGGGCCTCTCCCCTGCTCAGAACTCCAGGTCCTCCAGCAGCTGGGGCAGAGGGATAGCAGGGACCGGGGTCCCCAGGATGGTTGTGGGAGGGTCCCGGGGTCCCCCAGTTCCAGTTCCTCCGGGTGGTCCCTGCAAGCAACATGCTGCCCTGTCCTCAGCCACTGCTCATGGACCCCCTAGGCCCCGAGACCGCCCTGGGACTCAGTGTCCCCCTCCGGAGAATGGGTGTGTGGCTGCAGATGCAGAGGAGCCTGGCCAGTGAAGGCCACACTGGCCGTGGGGGAGGCCTAGGTCAGAGGTTGGGGTCCCACAGGGCCCCTGTTGCCCCACCTTCAAAGTTGATCCTTCCGTCTCCATCCGTATCGGCCGCCTGGATCATGGCTTCCGCCTCCTCATCTGTCAGAGGTGCGGTCGGCCCACTGCTGGGGATGGTGGACAGGATGTACCTGGGGGGAGGGGGAGGGGGACGGGCATGAGTCCGGCCACAGGACTGTGGCAGCTGGGGCGGCAGGATCTGGCTGCTTCGAGTGCTGGTTTCACAGGTGGAGATGGAGGCCCTTGGAGGAGGGACCAGCGGGGGGCCCTCTGGACGGGCCCCGGGGCTGGGGCAGGAGGGCTGGGGGACCTGGCCTTACTTGATCTCGTTCCACTCGATGAAGCCGCTCTTGTCCTTGTCCAGCGTCTGGAAGGCCTTCTGAATGACCGTGTCCAGCTGCCCCGTGGCCTGGAACTTCTGCATGTACTCGAAGAACTTGAGGTAGTTGAAGGAGCCTGGCGGTGGTGTGTGTGTGTGTCAGGCTGGTCAGGGGGCAGCCCTGGCCGGGACCCACTCCCACACTGGTCCTGTCAGCCTTCCCTCTGCCCCCCTGCCCCGCACAGGCCACAGCATGCTGGAACATCAGTCTAGGGAAAGGGGTGCCCCCCCAGCCCTTTGGTAGGCCTACCCCCCCCCACCCTTTGGTAGACTGACCCCCCCCAGCCTACCCCCCCACCTGCCCTTTGGTAGGCCTGCACCCCCCCTACCCCCGCCCTTTGGTAAGCCTACCCACCCCCCACCCCCTGGCCCTTTGGTGGGCCTTGCTGAGGGAGTGGGTGCTGCTGGGCGTGCTGTGCCTAGGGGTGGGTGCTGGGAGTTGGGGAGCTATGCCACCAGTGGCACCGTGTCAGGGAGGGGTGTGTGCTGTGATGGAGAGCTGAGAAGGGCCTTGATAGTTGTGGGGGGCTGGGCTGGGGGTGGTACCGTGGTGCCTCATGTCCGAGGGCAGCAGCTCGATGTCCTTGTCTGACAGGGACGTACCCATGGCCAACGCCATCTTCTTCATCTGGGACGAGAACTCCTCATCCATCCTGCCTGGGGGTGGGGGCGCTGTGAGGGTCCGCCCCGGGCATCCCGGCCCAGGTGGGGTTCCCAAGGACTGGAGCAGGGCTGCAGGCCCGTGCCGCCTCAGGCCACGGAGTGGTCCTGCCCCCCCAGCCCCTCCCAGGACTCCTCCCTTGGTCACTGGTCCACCGAGGGCATTGTCCCCAGGCCAGAGAAGAAGCAATGCCCCCCCCCCCATGGTCAGTGCCCTGTCCAGCAGGCCCCACCCGAACTGGAATGTTCTCTGACCTTTAAGGCCATTTGTGGGGGCACACCCACATCTGTGACTCCAGGGCCAGGCCTAGACCTTGGCCACAGGCGCCCAGACCCCAGGCCGGCTGTAGCCAACATCCTGAGGGGGCTGCTCTACCCTGCCCTGCAGTGGGGGTGCTGGGCACCAGTGTCTGCCCAGAGCCTGATATAAGGGTTGTGAGTTGGGGTGAGTCTCCCCACATTCTCAGCCTGACACGCCCCCCCCCAAACCCCCAGCCTGAGCAGGGACTGCCATGGCCCTCCCCATGCATTGGCTGGGGCAGGGGATGGGGCAGGTGCAGGTGGTACAGGTGTCTATCCCTCTGTGGGGTGCCTGGTGCAGAGGCCGGATTCCGGCCAGCCAGGAGGTGGGTGGGAGTCTGGGCCCAGCAGGGCTGCATGGGGATGGAGGTCAGGCCATCCCGTGCCCCTCTGCGGGGCTGCGTGGGGGTCAGGCCATCCCGTGCCCCTCTGCGGGGCTGCATGTGCGGCCCGCCCGGCTCTCAGGTTGCGTCCCCTGGGCGGGTCAGGTTCGGGGAGTGGGCAGGGCAGCTATTTCTGTGTGAGGGCGGCCCCAGGCGCCTTGGCCTTCTGAAAAGTTCATGAGCGGGTGGGGGCTTCTGGAACCATCCCCCGCCTGCCAGGAGGGGCAGCCCACGGGGTCAGAGGTAGCACCTCCACCTCTACCCCTACCTCCACATCCAGGAAGCCGGCCGGCATCTGTGCGTGGCCGGCCCTCCAGCCCGGGCAGCCTCCTGCCCCTGCTGAGAGTGAGGGGCTTGCCAGCTGGTCACTGGGGACCCTCAAGGGGAGGTGGGGGGGCAAAGGTCCCCTCTCCCCCCTCCCCTCCCTCCCCTCAGGGATCAAGGCCCACAGGCTGGCCCCAAACTCTTCATTCTGAGTGGGGACCCCGAGGTCTCAGGGACAAGCTAGGCACAGAGTCACCGGTTTACGGCATTGGGTGGTGGGGGACCCCGGTCCTGTCTGCAGGCCCTGACTGTACCGGTGCCCTGGCCCCCATTGGGGCCAGAGACCCCCCTGTGCCTCTGCTTCCTCGCTGGAGCCAGGGCTCTGAGGGCAGAGCCGGCTGCTGACTTTCAGTGCGTTTTCTCAGGCCCAGGTGAGGTGGGGATGGCAGGTGGGGGGCGCTGCCAAGCATCAACATGCCCCCCAGCTGGCCCGGCCCCACCCCTCACTGCCTCTACACCCACAACTGTTAGGCCAGGTTAAAACCCCCGACTCCTGCTAGCCCCAGGCCAGCAGGCCACCTGGACCCTCGGTCCATGTCTGCCTCTGCCAGTGGCCAACTGTTGATGGGGGCAGGGGCACGGCTGTGGGGGCAGGACAGTGGGACTGGCACCTCTGCCTCCACACAGAGCCCATGGAGGTCCCCTCCCCCCCTCCCCCCACTGTGTCACCCCACAGAACCCTGTGTCATGGGGCAGCCCCATCATGCCTCTTCCCAAGGACCCCCCCTCCCCTCCCCCAGGTCTGACCTTCATCAGCTTCCCTCAAGGGCTCTGGGTAGCGGTCAGGCTGGGGTGCTGAGAGGCCTCGGGGGGACTCTGCTTTTATACCTGTGGCCTCGGGCTGTTTACAGCCCTGCTGCACCTGTCCCACTGCCCTCCCGGGCCTCTGCCTGGCACTAGCCGCCCCCAAGGGCTTGGTGGAACTTGGCGAGCCCAGCCCAGCCGGCAGATGACTGAGGCCGAGCGAGCCCGAGAGGGCAGGAGAGGAGATATCCCATGAGCGGCACAGGGGACCCTGGGCCACAGGACGTACCCCAGCGCAGCGCTGGACAGGGACCCCCTGCAGGGTCAGGCTGAGGGGCTTGCCCGGAACACAAAGCTAGAGGCCAGCTGGAGCCCCAGCATGGGCAGATTTGGGGTGTAGGCCAGGAGAGGGGCATCTGCTTGTTGCAGCCTGCAGGCTGAGCGTTGGGGGCTGAGGAGACAGCTTTTCCTGGCCACACCCCCTGCCCATGTGAGGGGCCGCTCTGTTCAGGGAGGGTGGGCGTCACCCAGCAGGTGGAGGGCCCTGGGGGTCGGGCTTGCAGGAGGTTTGGCCACACGGAGGTCACACTGGGCCCCTCGGGTGGGCAGTGCTCAGGACGGGCTGGGAGCCAAGGGGCTGGGCGTCCTCCCTCCTGCCCTCTGCAGCCACCGTCTGTCCGTCTGGAAGTCTCATGGTCCGCCCGCCCTTCTGGAAGTCTCTGCCCGCGCTGGGTGGAAGCAAGTGCTGAGCGGGTCTGTTAGGCTGACCGCGTTGTGCAAGCCCCAGGAGCTGTTTCCACAGCGTTTTCATCACCCTCAGCAGGGACTCGGGGCCTGAAGCAATCCCCGCCCCCCACTTCATGCCCAGACCTACGCCTGACCTCTACCCCACCCCTACCCCGTCCCCCCTAAGTGTCTGGTTTGGGCGGAGCATGGCGTCTCCCAGGCCCACTGAACGCAGTGCATCCCAGGGCCCGCCCTGCATGGTGGGTGTCCCTGGGCTCTGCATGCCCCAGGGTCCACTGTCCCCGGGCTGTAGTGTGTCCTGGGGTCTGAGGGCCCCATGGCTGGGCAGTGGCCCGGGGGTCTGCACAAGGCCAGCTCACTGCAGGTCCAGGAGGGAGGGGCCCCGGCGTGGGGAACCATGTCCTCCCCCCTGAGAGCCCAGCTCTGCCTGCCGGCCAGGGGTGGTGTTAGGGACCGGCCACACGAAGGCCGGACATGGCAGGGGCGGCGGTCATAGTGAAGGCCTGACCAGTCCCTCTCTCTCATGTTTCAAGGTCATGGTGTCCCCGAGGCTGGCCCGAGCTCCCAAGGAGTCTGAGCGGCTGACCGAGGGGTCTGAGCGGCCAGTGGGTCTTTGATCCTGGGTCACTGTGAGGGGCCAGGAGCAAGGTCCAGGCAGCCTGCCAGATGAAGGCCAGGAGAGGAGACAGGGGTGCTGGCCAGGCCGGGGTGGCCCCTGTGGGTTGGGGCACAGAAGGAGCCCTGGCAGAGCCAGCCTGGCCCAAGTGAGGCCACCCCCGGGACACCCGTCGAGAGGGCCTCTCGGGGGTGGGGCTGGGGGTCAGGGGTGGGGCATAGCGTCTCCTGTGATTCTGTGTTTTGAGCCTGATGCTGCTTGTCTCAGCCGGTACCCCACCCCCACCCCCACCCAAACACAAAGACTGCCATCAAGTAGATGCCGACTCCTGGGGACCCCATAAGCCAGGGCGGATCTGCCCCCGGGGGGTGTCTGAGACGGCACAGTTGGCGAGTTGGAAGCCCCGACTCTCCCGTGGAACGGCTGGTGGTTTCGAACTGCCGGCCTGTTCCGCTCGCAGCCTGGTGCTCACCGCGAGGCCACCCAGGGGCTGTCAATCGCTGGCAAAGCGGAAGTGCCCTGCTCGGTACCTTCTCTGTTTTAAATTTCCTCACTCTCGGGTTGTGAAAACGTACCCCACATTTATACACCGCCCCACGACGTGGGCGACGTCGTGCTTCAGGCTGTGTCCCCCGAGTGCCCCCACCGTCAGAAGCCTAACCCCGCTGAGAGGCTGCCGGCGGTGGTCCTGGCACACTGGTGTCGTCAGGATCCCACCGCGCCGTCCGGTGCTGCACCGTCCTCACCGCCTCCCTGGGCCTCAGCCTGCTGCTGCACCGCCACGCCGGTCCAGCTCGTCGAGGGCCTCCTCTTTTGCCAAGCACGCTGTCCTTCCCCGGGGACTGTCTCTCCTGACAGCCTGTCCAAAGGACGTCAGGTGAAGTCTTACCATCTTTACTTCTTCAGGAGCGCTCCGGCCTTACTTCTCCCAGGACAGGGCTGTTTGTCCTTCCAGGAGTCCGTGGTGCTTTCAGTATTCCGCTCCAGCCCACCGTCCTCTGCTCCTCCGTGTCCAACTTTCACCTGCGCGGGACCCAGTGGAGAAACCGCCCTGCTTCCCCATGCGCTAAAGAGGCCCGTGCGGCGGATTTGCTTAATGCAACGCGTCATTTGGTCTCGAGACTGCGGCTTCCAGGAGCATGATTTGTGGACCCACGCAAGACTGGCGACTCCCACTTCTCCTCCATCAATCGAGACGTCCCCTCCTGGTCCGGAGGGGAGGACAGTGGTTTTCCTTACGTGGCGTCCTAATCCAGACTGAAGGCTGTGGACACTAGCCTGCCCCAACCGTCAGCTCCCGGCCCACTGTGACTGCTTCCCCCACCCCCGCCCCATCTTTTCACCCTGCTGGATGGGGGAGGATCACTCTGTGAAGGAGCCCTGGAGGCTGGGCCGTGGTTACCAAGAGGTCAGCAGTTTGAACCGAGCAGCCACTCTTTGGAAGAGAGAGGCGGCGTTCTGCCCCCACCTGGGAGACCTACAGAGGTGGTCCTACGCTGTCCTGTGGGTCCGCGGTGACTGACAGCGTGTGAGCTTCACCTCCATTAACACCATCCACACAGCAGCAGTAGAGTGAGGAGCATGCTTTAATAAAACACGAAGAACAAACTAAACACAAACCAGACGCTCCGTGGCCTGTGGTGTGGCCAGCCCTCCACGCAGCCCACTGATGGCGGGAGGCTTGGTAGAACCTTCCCGAAGGCGGCCTCTGTCAGCCCTGCTGCCCACAGAGCCGGTGGGGGGCAGGCCTGCCTCCCCTGGCCCTTGGAAGCAGCACCTGCTGGGAGCTGACAGACGCCGGGCGGTCCCCATGGCCTGCTGTCTGTCCGATGTCCAAGCCCAGCTGATCCTCCTGTCACCAACACCCACACCAGCCACCCTGCGTGGCCCCGGGTCATCTTGCAGCTGGGGGCGGTGGTCTGTTCCCCCTGTCCTTTCAGAGGCTGAGGTCTCACTGGCCCCACAACAGACCGGAACAACACCTGGGGGTGGTCGCCCACTGTGAGCCCCCTCCTGCCAGCCGCCAGGCTTGTCCTCGGCGAGTGTGCTCCAATAAGAGTCTTTGTTGTTAAGAAGCCTGTTTTCTGCGTTGTGTGGCGGCAGTGCTGGAGAACACTGGACGCTCCATGGGCCGCCAAAAGGACACGCACGCCTGTCCTGGAAGAAGGACGACCGGAGCGCTCCTTAGAGGCACGGAGAGCGAGACTCCATCTCACAGGCTCGGCACATGTCCTCAGGAGAGACCAGTCCCCGGAGAAGGCCGTCCTGCTTGCTACAGTGGAGGGGCGGCGAGAAAGAGGCGGGCCTCAGTGAGACTGGACGGACCCCGAGGCTGCAGGAGCCCTTGTGAGGCTGGCGCAGGGCCAGTGCTTCGCTCTGCTGTGCACGGGGTCAGTATAGGTCAAACTGCCTTGCGGACCCCCACCCCACCCCAACAACCCAGTTTATAAAGGACAAAGCTCTCTCTAGCCACAGTCCCCTCCTAAAGAAAAGGGGGCGCCGGATGGCCACTAGGAACTCCTGTCACCCTCCCAGGGAGGGCAGGCACCTTTTAGGGGCCAACACCACCCTGCAGGAAGTGGGAGCCCAGCACGTCCAGCTCCCTGGGGTCTCTTTGGCAAATGGGAGGGGTGCAGCTGCAGAGGGGTGGGGCTGCCATGGGAGGGGCTGACGGGTGGGGGCAGCTGCACCTCCCCCCACCCGGCACAACCCAGGGCAATGGGTGAACCAAGACCCCCCACTTCATCCGGCATGCTTGCTCGGCCTGCTGTCAACTGCTTTCTGTGCTCCCAGACAACACGCCCTGCTGTGACTTCCCTGTCCCGCCACTGCTGTGCCGCGGAGGAAGCGCGAGTGGCAGGGCGCTTTCCGCGGGATTCAGTTATATTTTGAGTCCATCTCTTTTGAGATAGCCCCAAATCCACACCGCTGCCCTCGAGTCAATTCCGACTCACATCACCTTGCCAGGACAGAGCAGAGGTGCTCCTGTAATTCTTTAGGGAGCTGAAAGCCTCACCTCTCCCCTGCAGAGTGGCTGGTGGTTTCAAACTGCCGACCTCTCGGTTAGCAGCCCAGCATATAACCACACCCCAGGCCATGATATAACGGAGGAGACTAAACAAGGGAGCACAGACCAGAGTGTTCTCCTGCCACCAAAGAAGAGACGGGAGCGGAGCTGGTCTGCCGCGCTGAGAACCTCCTAGACCCGCGGGATGGTGATGCCAGGCCTCCTGGAGACCCTTTCCCAGGAAGGCAGGGCCCGTGATGTGAATAAACGACCAGGACTTTTCTCTCAGTGGACGGAGCTTTCCTGAAATCAAACGTGCAGCCCCTTAAGCACACAGACCAAACGCCCGTCAGTTGGAACCATCCACTTGCCAACCCCAGTGGTCCGAGAGAATGCCAGGCTGGGGATTGTGTGTGGGAGTCAGGTGGGCCGTGTCCTGTGGTGGGCACGGTGCCCACTTTCTGTGCCTCAGTTTCCTCCTCAGCTGTGTGGCCCACCGTTCAGTGCTCTCACTGGGGTGAGGGGGGCTAAGGGCACGGGACACTGCTGGGGTGTCACTCGGGTCCTTGGGGTGGTGGCCTTGTCTCCGTGGGCCTGAGTGCACTGGGGTCACGGGACACAGGAAACCCATCTGCAGGCCTGGTCCTCGCGGATGGAGGCCCTGCCCAGACAGCCCCCTCTGGTCTGAGGAGGGCGGCCTTGAGGCCTGGGGAGACAGGGGTCTCAGGTCCATGTCTTCTGTGCCCTCGACGTCTGGACGCATGCCCAGCCCTTTCCCTTAATCGGGACCCCAGATGAGCTGCCTGTGTAACTGACCCAGCCTCATTCTGCCACTCCTGGGTGGCAAGTGAGAGGGGCCCGTCCTCCCCCTGACTCCACCCTGTGCTGCAGGGACCCCACAGACCAGCCCCACCCTACCCACCTTCCTGGTGCTGCCACTGAGCGAGGGGCGGGGGCTTACAGAGGACCCCACCTCAGGAGGGGCCCCTGAGCAGAACGGCTCCAGCAACCCCACCTAGCCCACCCCCCACAAGCCCTCTGCTGCCAGGGATACACTGTGTGTGTGTGCATGCATCTGAGTGTGTCCGTGTGTACTCGTGTATGTGTGTGTGCATCTGTGTGAGTAGGGGTAGGTGGCTTGTGCTTGTGTCTGTGTGTATGTCTGAGAATCTGAGTGTGAGAGTGTGTTTGAGTGTATGTGTGTGCATATGTCTGTATTGCTATGTGTCTCTGTGTAAGTTTGTGTTTGTGTCTAGAACTGTGTGTTTACATGTCCAAGCATGAACACTTTTGCCTGTTCATACATGTGTCTACCCACATGTCAGAGTGTGCACACATACATGCCTCGTGTTCATGCCCGAGTGTGCACATGTGTGCCAGAGTGTGCACATGTTTCTGTGTATGTGCATGAGTGTGTACACATGCTTCTGAGTGCATGTTATTTCTGACTGAGTATGCATTTCTGTGTACACGTATTCCTGGGCGTGTACACGCATTTGAGTGTGTGCACATATTTCTGAGTGTGTGCATGCATTTCTGCATGTGCGCGCGCATTTCTGAGTGTTGCGCACGGGTCTGTGTGTGTGCACATTTTCGAGTGTGTTGCACATGGGTCTGCATGTGTGCAAATGTGTGTTCACAGGCACACTGATGATCCTTCTACCCTTGAATCCAAACCCCCTGCTTCACGTCCTTGACCCTGACTACTGAATCTGGCTGGGGTGGGCACACAGGGTCTGAGTGCAGAGGGGCTCTGCTGTCCCCAAACGAGCAGTGGCTTATGGCCTTGGCCATCTCTCCCTGCCTGTCCCCAAGGGACAGAGCAGGGCCCTCACGTAAGCTTGGGAGGGGTTGGCACGCAGAGCAGGGGACTGGCCTCTCCACCTGCCCTCTCATCCTCCCACCAGGTCCTTCCTACCTGCCTTCCCCCCCCTCCCCCCCCAACAGAGGCCACTGGTGTCTCTACTCCTGCTGGCCCACATTGGATAGGGCAAAGTGGACAAACACCCCTTGGGCACCAACTCTGCCCCTCCCCTCTGGGTTCCTTAGCCCTAGACAGCAAAGGCCTGTGTAGTGGTGGTCCTGGTGGGGCCCCCACCCTCCATGGGCACCCACAGCGGGGAACCTGGGTCTGGAGGGGCCTTCCATATGGGAGGGGACTTTCTGCATACCCTTGTCCCTGCTGTCTCCTGGGACCCTGCTCCCAGCTCTCCCTAAATTCTTCCCGGGTTGCTGAGAGTAGGCAGCCCCTCCCTCCTCACCCTCCTGGCCTGGGGCAGCTTCCCTGTCCAGGCTCTGTCAGGCCTGGCCCACCTCCAGGCTCACCGTGGCTCTGTGGAGGCAGGGCATTCACAAGAGTCACCACTACTTGTTAACGTCCCCACCCCACATCCCCAGAGGGGAGAGGGACCCTGGCTGTGGGGGGCGGGGACACACTGGCACTGACAGGAGCCTGCACCCTGGGTCTCGCTTTATAACATACTCCTGGTGCAGGGCTGGGGGCCCTCTGAAGGGTGGTGAGGGGGTGGAACCCTAAGAGGCGGTTGTGTAAAATTACCTGCTCCAGGTGCATCTCAATAGGGCGAGGATGTTGGGGGGCAGAAGGTGGGGCCCCAGCAGCCTCTGGAGCCTGCCCCCCTCCATGTGTGCAGGTCTCTGCGCCCACAGTGTGACCGAGTGCCCTTCCCTCAAGTTTTCTATTCTCCCACCCCCGTCCCCCACCCCGAAGGCCAAGGGCGCACTCTGCTCGGCTCTCCCCACTGCAACGACCCCCCTGCTCCCCCAGACCCCTTTTTCTCGCCCCTGTGCACCCCCGCCCCCACCCTCCACGGCTCGTCCCCC